ATGTTTGTTTACAGTTCACATGGGAAGTGGGCCTTCCCCCCTCTCCTGTGGAGTTTTCCTCCCACCGCCACTTTTACAAGCTTTACCGCTCCTGGTTGCTGGGCCTGTGCCGCTGTTCCTGCCTTCTCCAGCTGGCTTGTGAGGGATTTCCCCTCCCCCCTTCTTCAGCGCTTCAGGGCACCCTGCCCTCTTTGCTATGTGTCTTTTTTGTTGTTATTGCTGCTTATTCAGTTTTTTTTCTCTTTTTTCCCTGGGTGGGGTCGTTCTGTCCAGGGGGCTATGCTGATCTGACCCAAGGTTGTCTGTGGGAGTACCGCGGTACCGCTTAGCTCACCTTGTGGTCCACGTCTTCCCAAGCCGTCTGGGCGCTGGTGTCTGGTGATGGCCCGGGGACCCTCCAGGTTTCTCTGTTCAATGTGAAGTGGAGATGCTATGCACAGGCTGGAGGTGTGGAGGAGTCAAAGTTTTGCCTCTTCTTGGTGGTTTTTCCTATAAGGTGTATCTCCAGCGTCTCTCCAAGATTTTACTTTAGGAGGCACACTTTCTGCTTCCTCCCTCTAGCCGCCATCTTGGAATCTCCCCCTCCTGCCTTTCTTTTGCTCTGCTCATGCTCCTTTTCCGTCTCCCTTGTCTTTCCTTAATTCCATTCCCAATCATTGTCTCCTTCCCCAGAGAGGAACTGGTGGAAATTCTTTAGATCCTGTAACAAAGAACATTAAGAAAAGCGGAGGAAATCTTATTATGGTCTTGAGTTAATATTGATGTATCAAATGTGGATTGATTGATTGTGTTTAAAAAAGTACCATCTGATGTGAGGTGTTCATTAATGGGGAGATGGGTACCTGTGGTAGCATGGGGTTTTTCTGTAAATCTAAAATCTAAAATTGCTCTAAATTTCAACACTTGTTTTAAAAACCTTTGATAAGTCACATTTAGTCATGGTGTCTCCTTAGGCTCCTCTTGACTGTGACAGTTCCTCTGTTCTCCTTGTTTTGATGATGACCTTGACAGCTTTGAGAAGCAAAGATTGCCCCTGTTCAAGGTTTAGGGGTTTTTTTTGTTTTTTGTTTTCATGATTAGATGGTGGTATGGGTTTAAGGAAGGAAGATCACAGAGGTGAGATTCCATTTCATCAGTCTTATCATGAGTACACAAGTATACAACAAACCCAGTATGACAGCACAGCCCTTTAATTCCAGCACAAGGGTGACTGCATGTTCCAGGCCAGCCCAGGCTACATAGAGAGAAAAAAGAATACATACCATCAACATGATGTCAGTAGTGATGTTTGTCCAGTGTCTCCAGAAGGATCCCTTTGCCTTTTTCTGTCCCCCTCTGTATCCATCCTCTTTAAAATGAAGTCACAGTGCACCTCACCTAAGGGGTGAGGGTCTAGGCTTTACCTCAAGTCTGAAAAATCTGAAGAAACTGTTGTTATTCTTCTGTATGGACAATTTGTTCCTTTTTCTCTCGTTTATTTGTATCAGCATAGACTTGCGAGTTTTTGAACTCTGGATTATAATTCAGTGTTTTGCTCAAATCATTAAGCTTGGGCTGTTGGGAGCACTTTCTCTGACTCTCTGTCCCACTGACACACCCAGAATTACAGGATTTGGTTCTGAACACTTCCCTTCCCTCCCATCTGGCTATACAAGATGTGTGTCTCATCTTGTCCTGCCCCAGTCCTCCCTCCAGCCATTTCTCTGAGGGTCCTTGGTTCCTTTCTCTTAGTAGAGAATGGTTGTTAGGAACCAAGGTGTGCGTGCTGGGTGTGCTCGCTGCCAGTCTGCGCCCTTGATCCCGGGTGCTCGCAGCTGACAGACCTCAGAAGCACCGTGTCTGTAAACATTGGTCACAGTCCTGCCTGCAACCATCGCTGTCCACCTTCCACCAAACATGGACTTGTTCTGATAGCATCAGCCCTGAACTGTTACCTCGTGGATCCTTCTAGCCTCCTTTCCTTCGCATAAGTCATGTTTACCTTTTTATTGAGCTCTAATCCACATATTATAAAATTCACCCTTTTAAAACATAAAATTCATTGGTTTTAATGTATTCACATGGTTTTGCAGCACCGCCGGTCTAATTTCAGACTGTTTTTCTCACTTCACAAAGGAACCCTATGTCTGTTAGCTGTCATTCCTCACTTCCCCCAGCCTCTGGCAACCATAATCTCTTTTCTGTCTACAGGTTTACCTATTCTGTACATTTTATATAAATGAGATTTTGTATTTTGTGACCTGTGGCATCTGGCTTCTTTCACACAGCATAGTGTTTTCAAGGTTCATCCACATTGTAACAGTTGTCAGTACTTCATTGCTTTTTATGGCTGAATACTATTCCACTGTATCGATAATCACATTTCATTTTCCAATCATCAGTACATGGACAGTGAGTTGCTTCTGCATCTTGGCTACTATAAACACTGCTGCCATAAACAGTCACGTCCAAGTGTTTTCATAGAGGCACGCTTCCGTTTCTCTTGGCTGTATTTCACCTAGGAGTGAAATTGCTGGCCTGTGGTAATGGTGTGTTTCACACTGAGGAATGACCAGTTTTTCCAAACAGCGGCACCATGCAGGTCACCCTGGCCACTGTCCAGGGATTGGATTTCTCCAAAGCCCTGTGAACAGGGGTTACTTTCTATCTGTCTTGTCACAGGATCCTGGTGGGTGTGAAGTGGCATCTTGTGGTTTAATTTGGATCTCACTACTGATCAATGATCATAAGTGATGATCTGTCCATGTGCCATGGGCCGTGTGTGTCTGTCTCCTCTTTAAAGGAAGGTCTCATCAAACCCTGTCATTTTAGCATCAAGTTCTAAGCATCCTCGTATTTTCTAGATGTTAAACTCGTGCCGATATATAAGTTGAAAATTCTTTCTTCTGTTCCATGCTTGTTGTTTTCTTTTTTGGTGGTTTTTTTAATGCGTGCGCATGTGTGCGTATGTGTACATGTGCGTGTGTACGCATGCATATGTGTGTGCACGTGTACATGTATATGCACGTGTGTGTACGCATGTGTGTGTGCATGCTCGCACAGGATATTGAACTAGGAGCTCGTATGTGCCAAGCACATCCTCTCCACTGAGCTGCCCCTCAGCTCCATGACTGTTAGATTTTTAAGGAATTTTGTGAACTGATTGCTAGCATCCATTATTAAAAATTAACTTACGTAGGTTCTCTATTAATTACAGTTAACCTTCTGTACTTAATCACCTGTAGGTCAAAAAATATTTTTTGAGGGCTGACGGAGTGGCTTACCTGGTAGAGTGCCTGCCTAGCAAGTGGGAGGCCCTGAGTTCAAACCCCATTACCTCCACTGCAGAGTGGCTCAAGTGGTAGAGGACCTACCTAAGTTGGGACCAGGCCTGGTGGTACATCCCTGTAATACCAGCAACTCAGGAGGCAGAGGTTAGAGGATTGCCTTTTGAGGCCAGCAAAAATTAGGGAGATCCTATCCAAAAACAAGCTGGGTATGGTGGTACATGCCTGTAATCCCAGCTACTGAAGAGGTGGAGGTAGGAGGATCATGGTCCAAGGCCATCTTGGGCAAAAAAAGCAGGAGACTCTATCTGAAAAACAAACTAAAAGCAAAAGAACTGAGTGTAATCCCCAATACCAAAAAAACCCCAAAACTTAAAAAGCTGCATCTATGCTGAACATGTCCGGATTTTCCTTTCTTGTCATGAGTGACCCCTGAACAACCAGGATGCCTGCTGTCTGCTTAGCATTTACATTGCACTAGGCTCTGTGCATAATCTGGAGATGACTTAAGTGTGCAGAAGCACTGCATAGGCTACAGATCTACGCCATTTGTGTGAAGCCTTGAGCACAGCAGTATTTGGGGTTCATGCAGCACCCTGGAACCCTCCCCCACAGATATCCATGGACGGCTGTGTTGCTAAAAAGCAGAGGCAGGCTGGGGATGTAGCTTTGTGGCAGAGCACTCACCTAGCCTGTGCAAAACCTGGCTTTCATCCCCAGCCCAGAAAAAGAAAAAAAAAATAAGGTTAAGTGATAAATAATCAAAACTTGTCACACTTGTTCTTTTGCTGCATCTGACTGTGGTCACTGCTCCCTGGGCTATTCAGTTTCCACGTAACTGCCCTGCTAGCATCTGTCCTTCCCATGGCTGGCTGGGTGGCATCACACTGCCATCCTGACATTGACTGTAACAGCCGTTTACACCATGGAAATGGAGAGATTGCTAATGTCTTTTCAATTGCTTGGTAGGCAGCCACCAGCACAGCACTGCCCCAGCCCAGCCCCGAGCAGCAGCCCTTCAGTCTCGCCTAAACAGGGGCACCCCATGCCAGCCACATGAGCCATGCGTCACTCTACCTCGTGGAAAATGCCGTGGGCCTCTCTCATCTTTAAGAGCTTGTTCTGGCAACATTTTGACCCAAGTCGTTTCTTTGCCTTCCTGCTTTGTTTCTGGCCCATACAGCTGTTTATTTGATTTTTGAGTCTTGGGTCTTCTTGCGTTTTATCTGTCTTTATCATTTACTCCATTTTATCTGTCATGTCAATAAGTTTGGAACGAAGGAGGGTCATCACTGTTGACCATGCTCTGCTATTCTTAGAATGCCACCAACATTTGTTTTAATTTTCAATGCTGAGGATTGAACCCAGGGCCTCACACATGCTAGGCAAGCGCTCCACCACCAGGCTTCACCCGCAGCCTATGAACATTCTTTTACTGCACCATGTGACGTGTGTCTGCTGTCATGATGTCTTCACACAGTCACTCATTGTACCCCCTTGTCTTCCTCCTGAGTTCTTTCTTGTACCAGTTATGAGAACCATGCTGATGATATGTTGTATATATGAGTTATCCTTGAAAAGGTCCTGAATGTCACCTATGCTGCCTTTTAAAATTATATACAGTTTTATTGCATGTCATACAATATGTTATTGTTCCCAGATAAACCATGGGCGACCCCAGCTGACTTACGTGGAAATCCCCAGCCCTCTAATATCTTTCTCCCTTCCCCGCAGGAGTCAAAGCTGTGTTCTCCGGCCACTACCACAGGAACGCTGGGGGCACCTACCAGAGCCTTGACATGGTGGTGTCATCTGCCATTGGATGCCAGTTGGGCACAGACACCCATGGGCTCCGGGTGGTCGTTGTCACCGCTGAGAAAATTGTTCACCGGTACTACAGTTTGGATGAGCTGAGTGAGAAGGGACTAGAAGACGACCTCGTGGGGCTGATGAAGACAGGGTGACTCCCCTTTGGGGTCTGCTCACTCCTTACTTCTGTGCTATCTTATTTTTCCAGAAGTCACACCCCTCTGCTGAAATGTCAGAGTAGACCAGGTAGGGCTACTTTGATGTCTTTTTGCATAAATCAAAGTGTTGGGTCCTATCCTAAATTATAGCCAAAAGTCTTTGCAAAATAGAACTGCCTTTCCTTTGAAAAGGAGGTTCAGGACCTGGCGTGTATTCTTGATTAGCATGATGTCAGGCTGTCTGCGTGATGTTTGAGTGAATTCTCAACTCTGCTTTTGAATGAGGTTCCCTCTGGTAGCGTGTGATCGATGTCTGCCTCTTGACCTCAGATCCAGCTTAATATACAGGTGTGAACTTTGCTAATTCCTTGAATAAACTTTATCTGATTGTGTTAAATTGTGGTCACGACTTCCCAAATGCTAGGCCACACAAACACCACCCCCTTTTCTTCCTAGAAAAGAAAACACCTGTCTCTTCCCTTCCCAGAGCCACTGAGGCTTATTTTAACAAGGAGCCAAGCAGCCACCCTGCTGGTAAATTCTGAGACATTTATTATTGGCTGACGGAGAGAACAGAATATAGTTGATACATTCAGTCAGGACTTCAGTTTGCTTCGGTGACTATGAAGTCACCTTCATACACACACTGGCCATGTATGAAAATCTCATCCAGAAGCCTCTAAAAGCAGCATGTGAAGTCACCCTTAGCCCATTCTGTTTGTCCACAGTCACAGTCTGTCTGCAGGCAGCCGGCAGACAGGGTGGGATGGCAGTGCCTCTTAACTGCATCTCTTGCAGAGAAAGCAGGAATTGGTGCAGACTGCCCAAAAGAAGCAAACAAATTCTGGTGGGCACAGCAGTCCTTGCAGGCACACTGTCTAAATTGACACCGACTTTGATTAAATGCAGCTGGACAGTATCCCTGGACAAGAGCGTGGGGTACTTGAAATCCAAGTTGTTTTGTGTCGTCTGCTTAGCTGTCGCTTGTCGGCAGCTCCTGGACACTGTGTACTTTGATCCTCCTGGTCTTTTAAGCAGTCGTCCAGTGGACAGGTAACCAGATATTGCAGACCCTTCAGGGATTCACAGTATCATGCAGTAGTGTTCGGTGACCCTACACTGACTGTACTAAGGGTTACAAATGAGCTGCAGAGTGCATTAAATTTAAAAAATTCCTTGTTCAGGTTTTAGTCAGTGGTGTAAAACCATGAGAAAATAAATAGAAAGATAATTGGATATGTAAATTCGTAAGGAACAAAAGAGGAGAAGTTAATTATACCACAGATTGGTGACACACCACAGCTCATTGTTAGTGGGCACAAGAAAATTAAATTTGTTCCAAACCAGAATGCTCGTCTTGTTGTGTTTCTTGTTTTGTGTCCATTTTTCTTTACAGCAGGCGTGGGTATGAGAGGCCAGAAGACAATACAATAAGGCATAACAGGTAAGCCACCTGGAGACACGGGATGAAGTGACACGTGGGCCATAAACACACGAGCTTTGGCCCCACAGTGGGACTCAGGAGGGAAGGGTTTAACCGCACCGAGGGAAGCTCTGCTCTGGGGTGCAGCTCGTGGGCTTGGGGAAGGATATAGAGCTAAGCAAATCCCTTTCCCCAAAAGCCTAGCAAGTGAAAGAACTGTTTCAAAACACCCCAAGAATATGCCAAGAGAAAAGAATCATGGGAAGTTCCTGCCATGGTGTTTGGGGATTGAACCCAGGGCTTTGTGCCTGCTGTGCACTGAGCTCAATCCCCACTGAGCTCAGTCCTCAGCCTCCCGCCACTTTTAAGTCATAAAGCAGCCAAGTCCCACCACAGTAAGGCTCAGAGAGAAGGTAGGAAGTACATCTGTGATGAGCATGTGTCTGTGCCCACTCAGTGGTAGACCTTCATTAGTGGCTCACTTATCCTTTTTCTTTAAAAATGAAAAAAGTACCTTAAACCGTGAAAACAATAAAAGACTTTCTTGAGTGCAGGCGCCTATGGTTTTGAGTGGTGGTTTACGTGTTTCAAGTGCTTTGGCTCAGAAAGGTCAGTCATGTGGCCAAGGCCACCAGCTCACAGTGAGGGAGGAGCGATCTCGAGCCCATGCTCCCACACACTGCCTTCTCTCCCTTGTTCTTCGTGGAACTTGTTCTTCATAGCGAGAGGCTGGCACCTGGTACCAGATCCGCTGTGGCAGAATACTGCTGTGCTCAGCACCTCTGGTCACCTTAATGTCGCACTATGGTTCCATCCTGTGGGCCGTGGAACCTAGGCACGGCCCAGGGCCCTCTCCCTGCTGGCACCAAGTTCAGGGCAGCGAAGCCTCTGCACCCGGCTGCTAGCTCCAGGCAGAGACTTGTCACTTAGAAGCTGAACTGAGCCATGATGGGTCCCGGGACTCAGCTCTGTCCACAACACCAAATGCTTTGTCGCATGAAGCTTGATCCTCATTGTGGCTTCAATTTGGACATGGTTTGTCCCTAAAATACTACAGGGTTGAAGCTTGGTCCCCAGTGTGGCAATGTGGAAAGGAATGGTGTGATGATCACACAACTGCGTTTACTTTTTATAAAATAGGTTTATCTTGAGTCTTTGCTTTATCTTTGGACTCACTTTGATTGAATAGTAATGTTACCATATTCTGACAACTGTCTTTACAAAGTAAGCCTCCTTACTCATGGGCTTTGTACCATCCTTAGAACAAAGTCCTTGCTGTGGCCTCCAGCGCCATCACTCTGCCCATGTCCTTCCCTCCAGCCTCGTCTCTTGCCATGTTTCCTGACCACCCTAGAGAGCCTGGCCATGAGACTAGGCTGGTGAGAAGGGAAGGGACAGAGGAAACAGGTGCGGAGAGTAGCAGGCAGCAACTGATCTTTTTATAATTCTGCCTCCAAAGGATCAAACAAACCTCTCTTGTCAATAAGGGAGGGGGCAGCTGAGACATAGGGGGATCAGTTCAGTGACCACTCTTGTAGATATGTCACCTGCCTGTTCTCATTGAATGCTGACGACTTCCCAAAGTCAGCACTGCCGTTATCCGCAGTTTGTAGATGAAGCAGCTGAAGCAAAGGGATGTTACGGATCTTGCCTAAGCTGGCAAGTGGCTTGTGCCTGTGATCCCATATACTTGAGAGGCTGAGATCTGAAGGATTGAGGTTTCAGACCAGCCTAGGCAAAGTGTTTGAGACTTCATCTCAAGGTAAAAAAGTTGGAGGTGGTGGTACACACCTGCCTTACCAGCTTCAGTGGGAGAATTGCCATCCAGCCTGTCCTGGGCAGAAAGCAAAGCCCGATTTCCAAATAACCAGAACAAAAAGGACTGGAAGTGCAGCTCAAGTGATAGAGCACCTGCCTAGCAAGTTCAAAGCCTGAGTTCAAACCCCAGTGCCACAAAAAAGAAAAAAAGAAAAAAAAAGGAACTTACCCAAGGTCACAGAGCTTATACATGCCAGGAGTGGGATTGAACCAAGCAGTATCATTTTAGAGCCCATGACCATCTGCTGTCATAGTCCTCATAGTGACCTGCTGGTATCTTGCATGGTGACAAACCTTCAGCATCCTATAGTGGAGCAGATTGAGATAACACATTGTCCCTTCACTGAGCAGGTGACCATGTCAACAAACAGAACCCAGCTTTCCCCTGCTGGCCTCAGAAACCACTCTGCCTATCTTATGGTCACACCCTGGAAAGTAAATCGTCCTCCTCCTGAAGTTATGTCTCCACCCACAGCTGGCACCGAGGCTATGTTTTTAATTACTCAACTCAGCTTAGTACTTTTTTTCCCTTTCTCTCCAAGGCATTCTAGCACTAGTCACACATTTCCTGAAAGACGTCCAGCAGAGGAGTTTCTGGGCCAACTTCTCACCTGCAGAGAAGAAAGAAAGTTCTATTGGCTTTATTTATTTCTCCTGACATAATTGGCCAGTGGAGGATAGATGCTGATGTCACATGTAATTAGTGGAGCCCTCTGCCCTCCTGGTCACAGTGCCCTGCTGGCTTGTTGGTGGGGATGGCGAGTTTCAGATGGATTGTCTTTATGAACCTAGGGCTCCCACAGAGATGCTCTGATTACCAGTTAGGAAAACAAGCATTTAGATGTGTAGACAGTTCAACATCTCCCAGACGGCAGATCACTGGTAACACCCTTTCGAAGCAGGACTGGCTTTTTCCAAAGGTGACAGCTCCAGATCTTGGGGGACTAGAAATTAGGAAACTCATCTCCACTTCCCTCCGTCCTGGACACCTTGCCATCTTGGCTCAGGCAAGATCCTTCAAAGGCCGTGAAGCTAACAGTTTGCTTTGAAATGGATTCTGAATGGTAGACATTCTGACTAAACAGCCAGGGTGATCGTAGTGCGGGTGCCGCTTATTGTCATGAAATCAAACCCCGCATAAAGAAAAGCCGCTTCATGCAGCACAAAGGATTGCGGAGGATACAAATCAGAACTGATACTGATAAATTTCACAACCAGCTTAGTTAAAACAGGAAACTGAGTAGGGAAATGATTTGAATTCCCCTGTGGCAGGATTCCTCTGAGCTTCTGAGAGGTAAAGATTTTTAACAGAGTTAATTACAGTCTGAGGTTGTTGAGCTGGAAACATTGTTTCTTCTTCCACATCCTCAGTTCTGGGGCATCAGTAAAGAGAAGCCTGTGTTGGGTGCATGGAAGGTTTCTCTACTGACTTTGCCTTCTAGACCCTTGGCTTCACCTCTGCCTCTCCATGACCCATCCCTGCTGCACCTAGCTCAAAATGATCTCTCTCCCACACTCGCACACACACCACCACTCTCACTTCTATTGGTTGAGATGGAGTCTCAGGAACTTTTTGCCCAGGCAGGGCTGGTCTCAAACCATGGTCCTCCCAATCTCTAACCTTCCCAGTAGCTGAAATTATAGATAAGAGTCATTGTACCCAGCCCTGACCTTTTCTCTTGAGAATATGATGACATCTAAAATCCCCCTGTCCTAAAATGGCCCATGTACTCACTGTCTGACCCACACTACCAGTGTTGTTACCCCTATATCTCCAATGCCCAGGGTATGGGAAATGCTCAACATACACACACATGCATCATTGCAGCTGAGATGTGCTCGGACAAAGTAGACTGGTTCTTTGAGAGAATGTAAGTAGGGATCTAGCCTAGGCCTAGGTGGGGACAAGGGACACACTTTAATGTGACCTCTAGGCAATGAGTTAACAAGAGAGATGGGGAAAGGAGAAAGGACACCCCAGCCATTAGGGAACACCTTTGGCTGTTTTCACTGAGGACACTGGGGGAGATTTAAATATACTGATGACCAGTCTGTCCTCCCAATGATTCTGGATGGCCCAGGAAAAAGTCTAGGTCTTAGGACCCTTTACACTTCCAATGTGACTTTAGTGTCCAGCCACATGTGAGAACTATCATTCTAGATGTGGGCACCACCCATGCAAACGTCCTGTGGTCAGAGGAAGCCTGAAGAAACTAGAGGGGTTCAAGGGCCAGAAGTCAGAGGTGGAGATTAGGACAGGAAATGGTGATGACAGGTAGACAGAGGGGCTTCAGAGAACATGTGAAGGAGGCTGTCTTGGCAGGTATGAGGAAGAATAATGTAATCCAATTGTCATTTCAAAAGGATCACACTGGCTTACGTTGGAGAGCAGATTAGAGGGACCTGGGTGCCTGTGGTGCCTGTGGGGTATCATGTCAGAGTGAAAGGACCACTGTTTCAACTATGACAGATGATGAGGACCTAGACTAAGGCAGTCCATCAGGTGATAGCAACCTGGAAGCAGTCAAGAGTTATGTTACCAGTTCTTAAAAACAAACAAAACAAAAAAAACAGGATAATAAGCAAATTATATTATCCAAGGATTAAAAGAAATATGTTACTAATTCTTATCAGGTCAAAATCTTTGATTTTACCCACGGGAATGGGCTCAGAAAGGAGACATGGCTCTTCAGTAACAGGAGGAAGTCAACGTGGCCCTGACCTTCGGGTTATGGTCTAAATGCTACTCACGACCAGAGGAGACAAGCAAAGGAAATGACCATTAGGGTGCTGGATGAAGATAAAACCCTCATATGAAACTTCCAACTGAGAGGACCAAAAGGTCACTGGCAAGTTGAAAAATACTGTAATTATAAGACGTCTGAAACACCAGCCAGGGGCAGCTCCCTGACCTGTCTCAGTGCTGGCTGGGACACTGGGAAAGATGGGGCTTGACATTCAGCTTCTGTGGGGAAGGCTCCCTGCCACTCCCTGCCTCCTTTTTCCACAGTGGAACCTGTGAATTCCTTTCCGAGACAGCCCAGGCCCATTGACAGCACCTCTTCAGTGACAGGAAGAAAGGTCATTTCTAGCATCCCAC